CCATCCATCCACCATCCATCCATCCATCCATCCATCCGCTTAGCACTAGAAGCTCCGAGAGCCAGCAGAAGTCAGAGGTCAGCAAGAGGAAGGCCCCGCAGTTGGAGGTGGGCGCGCAGAGCCGGGCTGAGCGGGGGTTGATGAGGCGAAGTGAGGGCAGGGGTCCCGTCCAGGGGCCTGGCACAGGACCCAGAAGGAGCCAGCCACACCGAGATGGGGAGGGGCGGCCAGGCCCACCTCTGGGGACCTGGCCCTCACTGCGGGGCAGGGGGTGACATGCCTGCTGCGTGCACCTGACGTGCCAGCAGAGTGGCCTCAGTCGGAGCGCAGCACCCAGGGGACTCGAGTGCACAGCCCAGGCTCGGCCCTTGGACCCTCAGGGCACCCGGGCCCCACGTGAGTCCTGAAGGGCCGCTCCCCGCACTGGTCTCTCTGCGCCCAGCAGAGCTTGGGGAGTTGAAGCCAGTGGTGCCCCAGCCCTGGGGGTGGGGGGGCCAGGGCCAGGGGGGAGCACAGTGCTCGGCCCACACCTGGCTGAGGGCGACGTGTATCAGCCCAGGACTCCAGGCCCCTTGAGGGCTCAGGGCCCCCACATCTAAGAGCCATGTCTGGATGGGGATGTTGTTGGGGGCCTTGTCCTCTCCCCGGCCCAGTGAGTCCCAGGCTCCCTTACACGTGGGCACACACCTGCACACGCAGGGGACATGCGTGCTCTCACACTCAGCCAGTTTCATGTGTTGGTGCATACACGCCCACCCGCCCACTCACAGGCACTGCCCGGCTGGAGAGCAAACAGACATTTGGGGACCAGTGGGCTGGCCAGGTCTCAGAACCAGGGTCCAGCCCCACCTCCTGTGCGTGAGGCCCAGTCACGCCCCAGATGGTACATTCCTCAGGTCTTCCTGTCCCTGTGCCTCTGGGCACTGACTGTCCCCTGAGGAGCTCAAGTGACCTCAGAGCTGGGATATTCCCAGGAGCCCTCAGGAGGGTGTTCTCAGAGCAGAGGGACCAAGAGGACACTTCCTAGAGGAAGCATATAACCCCCCAAGTCGCAATCCCCATGGGAACCAGAGCCCCATATCGCACAGGCTGGGCCAGGCCCTCACAGAGGCTCCCTACACTGAATCCCCACCCTCTGAATTCCCACCACCCCCTCGGAGCCCCCACTTGCCTCCCTGGGCTTCCACCCTCTTCTCTGAGCCCCACCCCTCGTCAGGTGTCTCACTGAGACTCTTCTCCCTCAAGGGACACACAGAGGAGCCCTGTCCCCTTCCTGAGCCCAGGCCTCCCCTTCTGCAGGGACAGGACACTGTCCCACCACTTCCCACATTCCCCCAACATTTAAGCCTCCATGAGCCGGCCACCCACCTATCCCATCTTCCTGTGGCCCGCTCTTCCTGGGGTCCCATGCCCAGGCAGCCTGCTCTATGCACTCGCCCCCTAATGCTCTGGTAGGGTCTTCCTCGTGCTGACCTCTGACCTCTGTGGCTCTCAGTGCTTCTAGTGCTGTTGGGGCCAGGCAGCCTCTGGGAGCTGAGGTGGTCAATGGGCACCTGCCAGTGGGTGTAAGATAGGCTGTACCCCCCAGGGTGCACCCCACTCCCAGCCTCACCATGCTCAGCACCCCTCCCCACAGGCTGGCGATTGGGGTCCCATCTCAGCAGTGCCCAGCTCGGATGTGTGCTGAGGTGAGCAGGGTCAGGGCGCACGGGGCAGCCTGCCAGACCATAGGGCTGGGGGCAGCAGGAGTGTCATGGGCACCAGGAGCTCCCCCAAAGGCTGCAGGGGACGGGCGCTGGGCTGCAGACTCACAAGTTTGGGGGTGGCATACGTGCGAACTTTGGGTGACACATGGACACACACGTGAGCAGGCTGTCCGTACACATGAGGATGGCAGTGAGAACACAGGTATGGAGGGCTGGGTTGAGCCGGTGAGTGGGGGGCCCACCCAGACTCACGGGTGCCACCGGGGCCCTGAAGAGCGGCTGTGAGCTGAGCTGTTCGTTCCGGAAGGGCTGCTCCAGTGTGCCAGGGGCCTTGGGGAAGTTCACCCAGGCATCCAGCCCCCCGAACCCCCACATCGAAGCCTGCACTGACCCCCCCACAGCCCCACCCCAGGCTGTGACCTCTCACCTCTGAGTCCCCGCCCTCTGCCACCCAGCCTGCCAGGGAGAGGAATGGGATGCCAGCCAATCCCAGAGGCTCCAGGCCACGCCCCTGGCCAGCATGACCTGAGTGTATAAATACACCTGCCAAGACCTACAGCCCGAGAATGCACACCTGCCTTGTCACGCCACACCTGGAAGAACACACGCATTGCTCTGCACACCACCTGCCAGGGACACAGCAAAGGGCGCACCTTCCAGACCAGGGACATTGAGATTGCTGCTGGCAGCCAGCCCCGTGAAGGGACATCTGTCGGGTGGCACACAGGCCAGGCCTGGCCCAGAGGAGAAGGAGAGAAGACTGCTGGAACAGGAACGCTCAGAGCCTCAGAGCCTGGCTGTGGCCAGCCAGGAGGACCATGCCCAGGCACCGCTGACCCTTGGCCACCAGGTAAGGCAGCTCCACTGGCACTCACCTCTGACCTGCATAGGCTCGGGTGGGGCAGCTCTGAGGAGGGTGAGGCCTCAGTGCCAAGAAACCGGTTCTGTGGGGCACACCGCAGTGTGGGGGGGAGCAGCTCACAGTCTCCCAGACACTGCTAAGGCCGCTGCCTTGCCTGCGGCCACCACTGTCATCAGGGCATGGTGACACCTCATGCCGAGATGCGGGGTGGCACTCATGACATCAGTGATGTTACAGTGATTCACAGCAGTCACTCATGATGCAGCAACACCCAAGCCTTCATAGTGTGTCACCGACAGGTCATTCCACTGGCCCACCTGGACTGACCAGCAAGTCAGGGTTGGGGGTCACCTCTGGGGGCCTCCTGAGCTCCATGGGGTCACATGGCCAGGGTCTTTCCAAAGGCCCTGTCTTCTCTGTCCACCACGTGGCTTCCTGAGGTGGCGACTTGGACCCAGTGAAGGGGTGGGGGCAGGGCTGGGGAGGGCCCTGACCAGCAGGCAGGTCACCTGAGCCTGGCCAGGGAGCCAGAGACATTTCCTGTGGAAATGGCTCAGGAGGGAGGACAAAATTGTGTGCTCAGCTCAGGGGACAGTGGGGCCCGTCCACCTCCCGCTCCCCTCCAGTGGGCTTAGGGCTGGCACCAGGCCCTTGTCACCAGCCAGACAAGCTGGCCCTGTGGGTTGGGGCACAGCTTGGAGACAAACCCTCCTCAGGCCAGCATCCCACCCTGCTTAGGTCTCCCCGTCTCCTGCAGACTGACCGGCTCAGCCCAGCCCCCAGCCCCAGCACCCTGACCCTTCCCCAGCCAGGCCTGGTACCCCATCCTTATGTGGCTGCCTGGGCATGTGCAAACCCATCAGGCGCCCACACTGGGATCCATGTTCAAACCCACTTCACCTGGCCCAGAGCCATAGCCTCCTAGGAGGGTGCAGGGCCCACTGGCCAGGCGACCAGCTGAGTCACCTACCCTCCGAGCTGCATTTTCTGCACCCTGGCTGCTGTATGTCACAAGACCCAGGCCCAGCCTTGCAGAACCCAGATCCTAACTGCTATGGACCATTGGCATCATCACCTTTAGTTCTGCCCAGGGGGCACAACCAGGTGGCACAGGGCTAGAAAAAGACATCCACCGAGCAGTCAGCAGGATACCCGTGTGCACACAGCCTCCCTTATCAGACCCTGAAGTCAGGCCTGAGCACCCCCCGACACTCCCCCTGCCTCAGCAGGTGAGAGGCTGAAGGGGGTGGGGTTACTACTTGAGCAGAAAGACGGATTGGAGACAGGTGGGACTTTCTGGAGCTGCCCACAGGTGGGCAGTGTTCTTCCCGGATCTTTTCTTTGGGACTAGTGCCTGGCAAAAGAGGGATGGAGTGAGCCACAGGCTGACCTTGCAGGAAGGGGGCAGGCTGTGGTCACTCATGGTGGTCTCTGTTTGTTCCACAGCTCAGAGCCATGTCATCAGGCCAGCAGGTGTGGCACACGGCCATGCCACACCCTGGCCGGAGCAGCCCCACAGCCACAGTGTCCAGGTCCCCCAGCTCGGCCAGCAACCCCAGGTCCCCCAGTTCGGCCAGCGACCCCAGGTCCCCCAGTTCAGCCAGCGGCCCCAGGTCCCCCTACTCGGCCAGCGATCCCAGGTCCCCCAGTTCGGCCAGCGGCCCCAGGTCCCCCAGCACCCCTGGCTCAGAGAAGGTGGCCTCCCCGCTGGAGTGCTCCATCTGCTTCTCTGGCTATGACAACATCTTCAAGACGCCCAAGGAGCTATCCTGCACTCACGTGTTCTGCTTAGAGTGCCTGGCACGGCTGGCGGCCGCCCAGCCAACAGACCGACTGGGCGGTGAGGCTGTGCCCTGCCCGTTCTGCCGGCAGCCGACCGCTGTGCCTGCCGCCGGAGCCCCCGCGCTGCATACCAGCCGGCAGCTGCAAGCCAAGATGCCGGCACACCTGCGGCGGGAAGAGCCCGTGTGGCTGGAGGGCACCAAGCTGTGCTGCCGGGCCCCGCCCCCCGCCCCTGGCCTCAGCTTCGTGTGCGTGGACGTGGGCCTAAGCAAGCCCCCGGAGCCTGCACCACCCACGCCCACCCCAGGCCCTGCCCCACGCCGCAGCCGCCTGGCCCGCTGCTGGGCGCGCTTAGGGGACTGGAGGCGCATGGCCCTGGTCACCACCCTGCTGCTGGTGCTCTTCTGCGTGGTGCTCTGGCCCGTGCAGTGCGCGCTCAGGACCGGGAACCTGCACTGCCTGACCCGGCCCCCCACCCACGCTGCCACGGCCACCATCACCTACACAGCCACCTTCTCTCTCGGGCCCTTGGCCGACAACTAGGGCTGTCCCATGCTCCACTCATGGGTTCCCAGCCCACAGCTGGAGTCACAGGTGCAGCAGGTGTTGGGAGTCAGTCCCCTGGGGACCCCAGAGGAGCCCTAACATCTCGGCGCCACATTTGGCTTACCTGCCCCCCAGGGGCTGGGTCCTGATAGGGTGGACAAAAGGGTCCCCAAAGCCTCCAAGAATCACAGGCTCCTATGAGCCCCAGAGACCACCACCCTAACTCCCACCATGCAGATGGGGAAACAGGCCCAGGAGAAACAGCCTGGCAAGCACCCTCTCTGCACACACTGAATCGCCCACAGGGGTGGCCCCTTGAGCAGAAAGGACTCGCTGTCCTTATCTTATTTCCACATTTCACCCACGGCTCTTCCCCCTTACGTTCCCCCAGGCAGGGCTGGTCCCTTCCCTTTGCCGGGGGTGCTAATCCTGGCCTCCGACCAGGGGACAGAAGACAGCGGCAGAGCGCTCAGCCCGCCAGTACCCAGCCCACCCTCCTGAATTGTATATTTTAAATAAATTATTTTGTATCCACATTTGGTATGGGGTCCTCATCCTGTGTGCCCACCTCCCTGCACCACTGGGCCCCTCCCTGCAGAAAAGCCCACTGTCTAGCCCTACCCCAATCCAGAGAACACCCCCACTGGATCAGACTCCCAGCAGTCCCTAGGGTGGGTGGGCCCCAGGTTCCAGGCAGTGCAACTCCGGTCCCCTCTGGGCTGTGGATAGGCCGCAGCCGTTCTGCACTTGGCTGCCCTGTAGGTCCATGAGGCTCCCCCAGGGAGGTGGGGAGGGCCCAGAGCACCCAGGACTGGGCCAGGCCTTGGCCTGGTGGTCCAGAGCCCTCCTCCCCCATGTTTAACTGTGGTCACACCAGGCAGCACCCCCAAGAAGCCAAGGCACATGGTCCTGCCAGAAGCCCTGACTGGAGGGCTGCAGAGCCCCATGGCCTAAGGGTGCACAACAGCATAGGCCGTGAGAACCAGTGTGTCCTGAAGACCCACAGACCACAGGTCTCTCCAGTAGACCTTCCTGGGCCTGGTTGGTAAAGCGGCAAAGTCCTGCCAGCCCCCACCGCCACCCCCACACGGTTCTGCTATCGGCCCTGAGAAGCCTGCGCCACCAGGTTGGCATGGCCAACAAAGGCCAGACCGGTTCTGGCTCATGCCAGTCTCAGCCTCCTCACCCCTCACCCCAAAGCCCAGGACTTCCTGCTCCAACCAGCTGGGCCTCTGGCTAGGGTGGGGGGACCCTGGGAGACGCTGGGCTCAGTTGTGGGGACCCAAACACACCCTTTCCCCAGGCCCCAACAAAAACACAGAGCTGGGAATGGCATTTTACTGAAAACATCACAAAGCCACAGCACCATCAAGGATGGGAGGATGCGTGCCACCATGGACCACATGATGGTGACATCGCACCCGTCACACACCAGTCATGCACACGAGCCTTGCCCTCGTCACGGGCAGGGCCAGACATGTGAGGTTGCGCGTGTGGTCACATGAATATCTCACAGCATTCCCTCATTCAACAAGCATGTACCCACCCGTGACTGCAATGTCACGGCCAGGGACTGAGCCGATGCTCGGGCCACATCCCAGACCATACCACTGCGGCAGGGCTGAGGAGGGGTTCTGGAGGTACAAAAGAGCCAAGGCACAAACACGTGGCTAGTCAGGTCAAGCACGGACTGGCCACCAGTTTCCTGGTCACTCATGTCACCCATATAGGCCAACACTCAAACATGTGGTCACTGGTGGCCTCCCACACTGAGACAAGCCACAGCCCTGAAGCCCTGTCCCCTCCACCCTCACTTGGGAGCCCCTGAAGGGACAGGGGCACCAATTGGGACACCCAACGGCCTCTCCCTATTTCTGGGTGTCCAGGTGGGGACGGTCTGAGGGGCAAGACTCCTGGACCTCTTCCCCCAGCGCTCCAGGGCAGGCCACTGTCCTAAGCGCAGTCCGTTGAAGAACGCGAAGGCCGGCTTTCCTGGGCTCGGGGCCTCCTCCGCGGCTCCAGTCGCACCCGGGGCGCCAGCACGCGGGGACCCTCACCTCCCGAGACTCAGCAGATTCTCGTACACGCCGACGGGGGTCTCCGTGGTCCTGCGGGTAGAGAGGGAGTTTTGTCCCTTCGCGCACCCACGCCCAGGCCACGCCCCCGCGGCCTCCCAGCTCCGGGCGGGGACACCGCCCGGCCCCCTCCCGGGACTCCAGCCTGGTTCTGCTCTACGACGCCCTGACTTACGCCGCGGGCGCTCGGGACGGCGTGGGTTCAGGGCCGAGGTCGACGGGCACGGCGCCCACGTTCTGGTAGTCGCGCTCCTCGGACGGCTCGCGCTGGGGGAGGGGACGTCGGTCACCATGGTGACGACCACGCAGGCCCCGCCCCGCCCCGGCCCCGCCCCCACCTGCTCGCGCAGGCGCAGCTGCTCGCCCTGGATGTACCGCTGCAGCGCTAGGTACACGAACTTGTATTGCGCCTCGGTCTGCACCATCCCCGAGCGCTGCCGCCGCACCAGCTGAATCGTCTTGGGAACGTCAATATCGCAGTCCAGCCCTGGGGACGGGTGCGCTCAGGGAGGGCCCGGGAGAGTGGGACAGGCCAGGTGGAAGGGGCGGGATTAAATAAGAGGGGTGGCTCACCCTGCCTGCGGATGAGGTCCACCAAGATGTCAATCACGATGATGGTGCCAGTGCGTCCGATGCCGGCGCTGTGAGGACCGACCAGGAGGCCTGTGGCTCCCGCCCCGGGTTGCACCTGCGCCGCGTGGCCACGCCCCCACCCTACCCCCGGTCGCACCTGCAGTGCACCACCATCGGTCCGGCTCCGGGCGTGCTTCTCTGGGCCTGGTTCACCTCCTCCAGGAAGCCAAGGACGCCGGCGGGCTCGGCCGGGACCCCGTGGTCGGGCCAGCTGAAGTACTGGTAATGCTTCACTGTGCGTGGCGGCTCCTCCTGGGCAGGGCGAGCCGGTGAGCGCAACCCAGACAAGTCTGGGCAGTTCTTAGGTGGGGCCGGCCGCAGGGTCAGAGCAGGTGGGAACTGCTGTGACCCCTGAGTCGGGAGGGGCGCCGGGAATGAGCCAGGAGAAGGCAGGCCATGGCCAGGAAGTGTAGCCAGCTGGGCCAAGGCTGAGCAGAAGGGCACGGGAGGAAAATAGGGGATTGAGGGCTCAGGGGCCCCCACAGATGGCCCCAGGTGGCTCAAGTGCCTGGGAAGGGAAGAAGGAGCAGGTTTTGGGGACAGTGAGTTCTAGTTGGGAAGGGCCAAATGTGAGAGGTCTCTGTTAGAGGGGACTGGTGGGGAGGACTCTGTGCGTGGGACAGAAATAGGCACTGCTGGCATAAAAAGGGGACCGAAGTTGCTGAGATGGGCCAGGAGGAGGCTGTAAAGGGAGGGGCCCATGTGGGTGTGAGGTCACTGAGTTTGTCCACTGGGACCTTGGGGCCTGGTGTTGAGAATGTGGCCTACCTGTGAACACAGCCAAACAGGCCCAGGCCAGGACTGTGTCCACTGGGTTGGAGGGACACAGAAGCCAGCAAGGTCAGTGAAGTTGGGTGGAGCCAGGTAGGGGGTTCTCCCAGCACTGGCCCTCCTAACGCCCAGCACAGACCTGGGGACTCCCTGCCCACTTTGACTCTGGCCTCGCGTGTCCCGTTGCCCTCGAGGCTCACCTGGTCCGGTCGCCACACCTGCAGCTCCCGCACACAGTAGCCCTGGGCCTGGGACTCAGCCACGCTGCACACATGCACACAGCCGTACTCTCGGCTGCCATGCAGCTCTGGCCAGTATCGGAAACATTTGTTCTGGGAGGGGGGTGCTTTGCGTCAACGTTGCTGCAAGTCCACCAGCACCCTTGCCCCTGTGCCCCGTGTGGACACACACATGCACACAGGGGCTCTCCAGGGCCCTCCTCACTCCCCAGAACTTCACAAAGACTGAAGAAGCAAGGCAAGGCCAGCCATGGGGACAAGTCCAGATGAGCACATGGGGACAAGCCTGCGCTCCTACCCGGCCTCGCTCCACTTCCCTGGTGGTCATGACGATGACACGCGTGTTCTCCTGGTGCACCATCATCCAGAAGGCAGATACTGTTGTCGGCAGACAGCCCTGGGTGGCAATGTATACCTTGCCCAGTCCATGGCCTGGCTTATCCTCTGGGTCACTCTGAAAGGGGGTGGGGGTCAGCTGCCTACTGTTTCCAGGATTTAAAGTGCCAGAGAACAAATGCAAGTCTATGCAAATGATATGCAAAGTAGCCCCAGGTGGCTCACACACAGTCCCTCCCACCACGGGCTAGGGAGGGGCTTAGGCTCAATGTTTAATCCAGCCCCCTCTGAGGACCCCTTAGGGGCTGCCACACCCCTTCCCCAAATAACTGAAGCCTGGGGGGCCCTGCCTCTTCCTAGGCCTGCCAGCAGGAGCTCCAGGCTCATAATGGGACAGGTGACTGGCATGTGGCCAGACATGGCTCAGGCTATCCTGTCTGATGCACTGGGCCACACGTGCAGCCACTCACACCTGTCTCACGCACACCCACCCTGATGTAGTTGGCGTTGATGTAGTCGGCTCCAGGCACGCTATCGTCCACACCACGCAGGACAACACGGGTGGTATCAACTGGAAAGGGAAGATGCCGTTCCCAGAGGTCTCTAGGGGACCCCGTTGTGCCGGCTGACCCGCGGTGGGGAGCAGCCCCGCCCCCACCCGCGGCCCCGCCCCCGCCCCCTCACAGGGAAGGATATTCTTGTAACGATTCTTGGGCTTGTTCTCCAGCCGCTGCCCCTCCTTCCGGGGGTACAGGAGCCGGCATTCCTGCTGCTGCAACATCTGGCAGGGTGGAGGTGGCTTCAGCCGAGGCCCGACCCTCCCGCAGAGCCCGCAACACCCATTCCACCTCCCCCGCCCGCGCCCCTCTGCTGGCCCTCCCCTGGCCAGAGGACGGAGTCTGACACCTCGAACTCCTCCCAGAAGCCCTGCTTGGCCTTCTCGCCGACATCCGTGGGTCTGTTGAGCTCCCGCACGCGGCTCTCCATGCTTGTGGCGGTGATCCTTGTGGCCTTGAGGGGCTGGCAGGGAGAGACCGGTGTCCAACCCGGGCAAGGTCCTTCGGCACCCTTTTCCCTGGGTGGGGAGCAGCCCACTCTGGCTCCCAAGGTCACATCAGGGGGCATACCTACCTGCTTGAGGGGCACCACGGCTCCTGACTTCTCCACCATGGGGTTCTTCTTGTAGCGCTCAACCAGGTCGCTGAGGGAGTCGAACCGCTCCCCGCCCCCCACGTCGTACTTCCCATCTGGCTGTGGGATGGCAGTGAGAGGCCTGGCCGTTGCTGCCTCCTGAGCCACACCCCCGCCCTGGCCTTGCCTCCCACCTGGAAGCGGATCATAACGTGGGTGACCGGTGGCCGGTGGTCCTCCTTGTCCGGCTGCTTTGTGAGCACCGAAAGCACAAAGTCCCCAGGCTTGCTCTGACTCTCCCGCACCAGGAAGCTGCCGGGACGACCCTTTTCCAACAGCAGCTTCTCAGCCTCCTTGCCAGACAGGTGCCCATGGTACCACCTGACCCGGGGCAGGAGGTGGGAGCACACGTGAGACTGGGGGTCACAGCCTGGCCAGGTGAGGGGGCACACACCCACACACAGCCGGAAGGCTCCCAGACAGATCCACACAGACATCAGGGGCGCAGGCAGCAGCCCGCCCAGGCCGTTCAGCTTGCCCCGCCCACTTCTCTGACCCGACCCTCCCCAAGAGCCCGCGGGAGGTCGAACACGAGGGCTCTGCAGGGCCCGGGGTGGCCACCAGGTGGCAGCCTGGTCCTCAGCGAGGAGGGGAGCGGGCCGGTGCAGCTCCCTCAGGCCTCAGCCTTGCAGTTGGGAAAACTGAGTCTGGAAGAACCCGCTTACCCCACATCACCAGCCAGTAGGGCAGGGGTAGGCTGGCTGCAGGACTACTGCCCCACACAAACGCCTGCATCCGGTGCCTGGGACCTAGAGGAAATGATGCCCGGACCCCAGGGGAGGACTGTACAGGACACCCAGAAGCCCCCTCGGAGACGCCGGCCGCTCACCGTTCGGACGTGGGGTCCTGGCAGCCCAGCGGGTGCCGAAGCTCGACCGGGGCCCCGCTGCGCTCCCGGAGCAGCGCCCCCCGCTGGCCGGTGTAGTGCTGCACCAGCTCCGCCAGCGTCGCGAACTTCTCCCCACCATACAGATCGTAATAGTCACCAGTGTTCTGGATCTTGATGTGGGTCACCTCGTCTTGGCGCCTGGAAGGGCGGGTGTGACAGCCGCCGTTGGGAGGCCGCTCCCACTGTCACCACCCTCAGCTTCCAGAACAGTGTCTGGACTTTTCCTGCCCCAAGGTCTTGGCCTCTGCCAGGAACAGTCCAGGCCAAGGCCAGGCCTCTGTTCGGCCAGTGTGCAGGCAGCCCTCCATGACAGGTTGGCCTCACTCCAGAGCACCTGCCCGGGGCTTCAGATGACTGGAGACAGACAGGTCCCCAAAACAGCTTCCCCCAGGCCCCACAGTGTGGCCTGAGGAGCCCCAAGGAAGAACGCGGTTCTCCAAGGTGAGGGAAGTCCAGCCTGAGGGCTAACCTCAGTTCCACCTGCTGCCTCAGGTTCAGCGAAGAACCTGGAAAGACCTAGAGCCTTTTGGAAGCCCCCTTCCCCAGACCATCGCTCTCTCACAGACTGACCCTTCCCCATCCAGGGTGCACATGGGTCCAGCTGTCCACTCCCCACCCCTCCTCCCCACACATGGGCTCCAGCCGGACCTGAAGATGGGAGTGAATCACAGCCCTTGCAACCCCATGCCCGCCCCCCGCCCAGGTCCCCCAGAGGACAGGAGGGAGGTCCCCCAAGGACCCCACCTCACTGAGTTCTCCCTGAGGGCCTTTCTAAATGGTTCCCTCCTGCCCAGAGGCTGCCTGGCCAGGCTCCCCACACCCCGCAGAACTCAGGCTCTGGGTGTCCAGCCCCCAGCGGGGTCCTCACTACCCGGATGCTGCCGTCCACCCCTCGGGAGGACTGGGGACCCTTATCCCCACCTGTGCCCCCAGCTGAGGGCACTCAGACTTGAGGCCTCCTGGGGCTGCAGGCTCACTCCCTCCTACCTGACAGACAGCGTGAAGCCCCCGGGGCAGCTCGTGCTGGGTCTCGCCAGGAAGCTCCCATGCCGGCCTCTAGACAGGAGCAGCTTCTCTGCCTGAACCCCACCGATGTTGGGGTGAAACCACCTGGAATGATGATAGCCAGTCGGCGACTCCAGAGAGCCAGGTGACGCTGGGCACACTGTGCAACCCTCCAGTCCTGCCCCACACCCAGCCTCCGGCACCATGTACGCGGCACCCACCCTCAGTGCCGGTGTGGGCCACCCTGAGCTCACGCCCTCCCTGGGCAGACACAGATGGGAGGTGCTGTGTAGTGCTCTGTCTCAGGGCCGAAAACAGTGCCTGGGGGCTAACGCAGGACTCCAGCGTGCACAGCTGCCGGGTGGGCGGGCACAGCAGCAGGTGGCTTAAGTGCAGACGGGAGGATGGATGGCTGCACTTGAGAGGAAGAGCCAGCGGACGAGCGGGAGCTGCTGACCGTGGGGCAGGTGTTGGTGAGGGGCTAGAGAGGGGGTCCCCCTTCCATCCCAGCCCTGCCTTCCTGCGATGCTCCTTTCAGGCCTCCCCCAAGAGATGGGGGACAGCCCCCAGCTCCCACAGGGACAACCAGCGAGGGCCCTCGGCAAGGCCACACATGAGCCCATGTCTGAGATCACAGCTGCTGTTTTGTTTACCCCAGTGGCTTTTATCACAGTGTGTCCCCCCTCCCCCGGTTAGGGCAAGGACTCCTGGGCCCAGGACTGATGGGTCCTTGTGTGGTAGTCCCAGAGTGTCAGCCAGGAGAAGCGGAAATGGCTGAATGAGGGGTGAGGGAGAGAACAGATGCAGGAAAGTCCTCTTCGCTCTGCCCCCTGGTGACCCCCCAGCAGTAACACTGTAACATGAACCTGGTCTGCCATGCCATCTGGTTCAGAAGTGTCCCCTGTTCACTGTGCAGATGACACACAGTGTGGGGGAAGGTGCTCCCAGGGACCTGCATCTGGACCCCAACTTCAACTGTGCTGCTTTGCAAACCCTACACCGAGGCCCCTAAGGCAGCCCCCTAGTCACAACCTGGGCACGTGGGGCAGGGCTGCTGTGCCCTGGGTAGACCATGCCCTGTCTTCACAGTGACCCACGAGATGGAAGCAAGGACAATCGTGCCACCATAGAGATCTTTCTATGAATGGGGTCAGCTCACATCTCTTGTTTAAAAGCCGCTGGAGGACTGGCCGAGTGGCGCGTTGGTTAAGAACTGGCTTGGGATGCCAGAGGGCCCCGGTTCGGATCCCACATATGAGGGCCGGTGACACTGCCCTCTACAGCTAAGATGCTGAACAACAGCTCAACCTGGAGCTGGGCTGCCGTGAGTCCCCGGCAACGGCATAGGCTGCAGCCCCTACTGCAGTGGGTTGCCATGGGCTACCATGTGTGTAGCCAGCAGCCAGCGTGAGCGGCTGTCCAGAAGCCGGTGACTGGTCTGCCTCACCCGGGAAGAGCGCAATGATGGTGCCAACTTGGGCCAGTGAAGCAACATCCTCCTCAACTAGACTGAAGAACAAAAGGACAGCAACTTATCTGTTCCCCTTCCCCCAATTCCCCAGCGCTGCTCCCATCCCCCAATTCCCCAATAAAAATCTTTAAAAAAAAAAAAAGCCCCTGCACCTCCACCCTGTGGGCCTCCTGCTGTTTGTTCCTCCTCTTCCCAAAGGCCACCTGTGCCCTGCTGTCAGCTCCCATCCTGACCCCTCCACGGGGCCACTGTGCCCCTAGTCTGTACTGTCCCACGGGAACCCACAGCATGCCGGGATGTGAACACAAATGCATTAACATTCAACCAGATTCCAGTTCCTCAGTCCCACAGGCCACATTCCACTGCTGAGAGCCAGGGTGACAGTGCAGGACAGACATCTCCACCAACACCACGTGGGGTAATGCTGCTGTCTGAGCTGAGTCCTCCCAAACCTGTGCCCTCGTCTGCCAGCCCCACTGAGACCTTAGCTCTCAGGGCTGTGTGCCAACCTCGGTCCTCCCGGCATCTATCACATGGGCCTCACCTCCTGGAAACCGTCCTTCAAGCTCCCCACACTCCCCTGGTCTCCTGCCCCATCTGGCCGGGGTCTTTTGCTGGGCCCTCCGCCCCCTCTTTCTGACCCCTGGATATTGGAGTCCCCCACCTGTGCCCTACACGTGTCTACACATCCAGCCTTACTTGAGCTCCGAGCTTCAACTCACAGACCCCACTCTTCTTAGCATCCGTTTGGAAAGGTTAACAGCATCTCTATCCTAACATTTGCAAAATTCTAAGCTCCTGATAACACGCAAAGCCCCTGACCTTCGTCCTCCCCATTCAGGGAAGGGGGCCGCCATGCAGCCCCGACCAGGTGGCAGCCCTGGCTCTCTCCCAGCACCACCACCCTGTCCCTCGGCAGCCTCTCAGCTGAACTCCCAAACATGCCCAAGGCTGACCACTCCTCCCACTGCCCTGGGCCAGCGCCCACCAGCTCTTGCCTACACTGTTGATTCCAGGTCTCAGTCCTCACCCATGACCCTTCAGCCAAGGGTAGAAGGCTTCTCAGAAAATGCACCTCAAGCCGCTTCAAGCTGACCAGGGGCCCTCACGGGAGAACTAGGTCCTATTCAGCATTACCACACCCAGCGGCTCACACTGGGAACCCCCGTTCTCCATGTCTGTTCACTGACCTTGTCTGGCCACCTCCACCCGCCCCCGTGGGGCGCAGTTCCCATTTCCTGAGAGGCCTTCCCCAGCCAGCAGTCCAGCTCCACCCCTGCCCCTACCTTCTCTGTGTGGCACTTGTCAACAGCAGACAGGCACATACGTGCTTTTGTGTTTATTTGTCACCCTGTGTCTTCAACACTAGATGTAAGCGCCCATGGGGACAGGCTCTGCTCCGACCGCGATGGGTCCTTAGGGTCCACATTTCACTTCAGAGAGGCCCGGAAGTTCAGGTGACCTGGCCAGAACCACCCAGCACAACAACACGCCCTGAAGGGAGGAAGGACTGCCAGCCAGGCCCTTCCTGAGCTTTGCGCCTGGTGTCCCGAGTTCCCTCCCAAACTGGCTCAAATGGGAACCAGACCTGGGAGCAATTTTGGTCCAGTGGTTCAGCAGGTGAGGCTGCCAGGAAAGCTTCCCAGTGACCTACAGGGCCAGTCACAAGAGAGCAGGCTAGGCCACCAGGAAAAGGGCGATGGCCTCGTGCCGTCCTAGGACCCACACTGACATGCTGCAGAGGGGACTAGAACCCAGCAGAAGGCTTCCTACCCTCCCCAGCCGCCCACTCTGCAGAACCACATCCTGTGCCCAGATGCCCCTCCCCCAGCCCAGCAGCCTCAGACTCAAGTCCAAGATGGGCAATGCCCAGAGTGCGGGGGCAGGGGTTCAGGATGGAGGCCCAGCGTCAAAGCCACAGAGAGGGGTGAAGCGCACCTTGTTTGTCCTTTCAAGGCTCTCAATCATACTTTCCATCACCCTCTCCTCCCCACAAGCTGCCACTGGGTCTATCAGGTGGAAATCTCCAGGGGTGGGGCGTCCTGAGAGGTTGCAACAGCTCACACCCCCGCCCCTGCACCATCCCAGGCCGAGGCAGGGTCTCACATCCCCCTACCCGGCCCTGCCATCCCCACACCCGGCCTGGAGGCACAGCCGGCTGCCCCTGGCTGACGGGGTGGAGGAAGAAAGAGGTAGGAAGCTGTCTACAATGCCCACACCCCCTCTTTGCCAGAGCCCTGGGTCACCTCTGTGCTGAAGGGCTCCCTGCTCTATTTGGGTCAGTGACTCACCCTGTGGTGATGTGGCCAGGTAGGCCCACGAAGGGGGCCAGGGGGTGGGCCAGGCATACTGGGCCCCCAAAAGGTCTTAACAATCTGGGTCCCTCAAGGCCCAGTCCGTACTCAGGAACACAGGACAATACAGGCCACCTAAGAGATCAGCCTGAACCCAGACTGGCCACAGACTGGTCCAGCTCCCTACTTGGCCTTGGTGACCCATCTGTAGATGGCACAGCTCCAACTCTGGGACTCTGGGAGACACATGAATGGCCTGCTAACACGCCTACACACGATACAGGGGCTGGACACGCCTGCAGGACAGACTCTTGTGATGGTGGGAGGCACGTGGGCAGTGGAGAGGGGTCCTGGGTTGGAACTCCAGGGCTGAGGTGCAGAGGGCACAGGCAGTGTCCCTTCCCATCTTCCTGCCCCTGGACCAGGCTCCACCACGGGCGGGCGCCCCCCCTTCCCTCGGCCTCCCACCACTGCTTCCCAGAGGAATTTCAATCTACCAGGTTCCGCCCTGTCTATACAGAACCAAATTAACTAGACACGTGCTTTCCTTTCCAACCCCTGGACCCAAGAGCTGCCCGAGGAGGGGCTCTGACTCCCCTCCCCTACGGCAGCTACTCCCCATGGGGCACAGCCCTCGCCCAGGCACCACTATCAGCACATCATGCCACAGAGCTGGGAGCCCTGCGGTGAGTGGTGCTGATGGGTGGTGGTGCCCGTTGACCCACAAACCACAGGGCCACGGGAAAGGGACATGGGGCGGGGGCAGGCGCAGGGGATGGGCTTTATTTGGGATTTGGTCCAGCCTGCCCAGGCCTGATAGGGGTGTAGGCAGGGGCCCAGGGGCCAGAGGAGTGACAGTCCAGATGGTCATCAGAGGGTGGGGCAGGGAGGGGTTGGCAAGGGCGGGCAGAGCCCTGCCCGGGGCTTTCCCAGGCTGGCCCAGGGTCACACGCACATGACATGGTCATGGCCTTCTCTGAGCGCCAGAACTTGCCCAGGAGACAAATAAGAGTGAGGCTGACAGAAGCCCGAGGGGTCATTCCAACCACACCCCAAAACCCCCTCCTCCCTGAGTTCCGGCTAGATGTTAAACCTTGGAACCCCAGGGCTTTGGGGCTGATGAGTTCTTAGAGATCCAACTCACATCCACTATTCCTGCGCCCAAGAGGGCCCATGACCCTGCTGAGGCCGGTGTGCCGGGCAGCCTCCTCACAACACCCCGCGCAGAAACCCTGGGACCCTCACTCCTGAGGCACTGCTGGCAGGAGGTGGGGAGAGCAGGGGTCTCTGCCTTGGGCTAAGGACCTTGCTCAGGCAGAGAGAAGCTCTGTGGGCCCTGTAGATCAGACCTTGTCCAGCCCCTCATAGATCTAGGGAGTCACTCAGAGTCATAGGGTGACCCGTCCTGTGACCTCTGGCCTCACCAAGCCCCAGAAGAGGGTATTCTGGATGTACCAAGTGCCAGGAAGCAGTGACATGTGTCTTATACCTGTGTGGCTCCCCACTCACAGGCACATGGCTCTTGAATCTGAGCTCACACGCGTGTGTGTGTGTGTGTGTGTGCACACACCCAGGGAGCAGGGATTCAGCAGAAAGAGCAGGAAGTGCCCGGTTCCTGTCACACTCTCCATGGAGGCAGGAAGCCGGAGACCTGGGGCCTGTTTGGCTCTCACACGCGTCACTGCCAGGGAGCCTGTCCTCTAAACCTGGCCCCCCGAGAGGGTCTGGAGGGGACATAAGCCTGTTGAGCAAGGGCTGGTCCTTGCAGGTGGGGATGATCAAGGGACCAAGTCCAGAGCGGGAGACTAGACCCTCTGGGACCTCCCACTGCTTCTGCCCTCAGTTTCAGGCCTAGGGAAGGGAGAGGTGCCCCGCCAAGGGGAACACATCTCTGGTGGCCAAAAGGGAGCCTGGAGCAGGGCAAAGGGTCCAAAGGGGAGACAGAGGGAGTGTCTGCCAGTGTCCTGACATCTGTTGCCCACTCTACGCTCCAGACACTGCCACCCACCACCTTCAGGGCCCATTCCGTACCCTATGGTCAGGGCACCTCTGACCTCCACCCTGGCCCATCCCCCGATGGGAGTGCGTCCTTTCCACCCTCCTTAGTGAGGCTGGCCTCGGTATGGACCCCAGCATCTGGCCCTGGCTATGGCGGGGGTGGGGGTGCCGTGTCAGGATGTCAGGTCTGAGGGCGACCTGGCCGGGAGTGCAAGACGTCCCAGAGTCGCATCTCGCCTGCGGTTCCCAAGTGCATCTCCTGGAGTCGCGGCGTCGGGCCACCGGGCAGCCCTGGCTCACCTGCGCGAGGTCATGTCTGCTCCGCACCCAGCGCTCCGCCGGGTCCAGGCGGCCGCGCCCTCGGGCCGCTCCGAGGAGGCCACGCCTATCTTATAAGCCCCGCCCAGAGACCCCGCCCACTGCGAGGCCCCACCCCGGGCTTCCTTAAAGGCGCCGCGCCCATGCGTCTCGCTGTGTCGCCGGGGAAATTGAGATAAAGCAGGTTTTCGAGGGCGCTGAGCTTCAGGCGGAGGGGCTCACACGGGCGTCAGGACTTGGAGGGCGAAGGCGCGATGCGGCCCCAGCCCCCCCGGCCGCGTCCGAGTTATCAAAAACGGATCGGCGCCGGGTACTGCTCTCCGGGGTGCCTCCTTCCAGGAGCCTCCAGGCCTTCGCGGGCACTGCCTTCGAAATGAGGGCGGAGGGTGCCCAGTAGACCCCAAAAGGGTGCAGGTGGGAGGATCCCACGTGATAATCAGGCCTTTGGTCTCAGCCCTCCTAAGCGGCCGCCACCCTCTCTGCCGGCCGCTGGCTCCTCACGGTCTAAGCGGTGCTCACGCCCGCTGAGCTCAGGGCGTCTGCTCATGCTACAGCTGCCCCCACCCCCGGATGCCTCTCAGTTGGCCTGGGGCCACTTCTGCCCCCCTTTCCCCTAGTGGCCGAACCACCTTTCGCGAGCCTGTCCCTGGGGGGGGGGCGCCTCACCTGGGCACTCATCCTTTAGATTCCCCGTTAAAAGTCAGGGACTTCAGGGCCGGCTGAGTGGCTCAGTTGGTTAAGAGCTCGCAATAGCGGTTCAATTCTCCGCCTGAGCTGAGCTGCGCCAACACGTGGCAGGATGGCTCAGCTAAAAAAACAAACAAACAAACAAACAAACAAAAGAGTTAGGGACTTCAGGGCCTCTCCTGCCCAGCCCCCTCCACCCCCTTTTCAGAAGTGGCGCCTTCTGCTGCTTCCAACTCCTGATTCCAAATCCCCACCCACAGCTGCTGACAGTTTAGCCGACTGAGTGTCCGGCTAAGGGTCCTGCACTAAGAGCCCCTCCTCCTTCTGGAAGCACTGGCTCCCTCTCGGCACTGTGGGGAGCCCCTCCACATGCATGACAGTGGTCCAGCACCTCATGTCCATCAGTGCCTCCCCCATCCTGCGTCCAGCCCAGCACAGGCCTATCCATTCTACCCCAAACCCCTCCCTTCTCTCCATTTGTCCCTGGGCCCCATCCAGCACTCTGTCCCACAGAGCAGGTACTGACAACTCCTGCTCCAACCCCTTCAGGCGCTTCCTGCAGCTCTTCAAGCAGAGCCCCAAGGCCTCTTCCCAGGACTGCCAGGCCCGCGGGATCTGCCTGCTCCCTCCACCCTGACCCATGGATGGCCTGTCCATCCTGCACACCGGCCACCAGCTGTTCCTTCTTCTGCCAAGCATCCTCCTCCAGCAACTTGCTCACATTTCAGGTCTGCATTGGAGTTTCAGCTTTTCTGAGACCTTTCCTGGAGCCCCAGACTAGTCCTGCCCCGTCCCCTGTGCCCACTGTCCCCTGCTTGCCAACCCCCAGCGCCTGGGAGTCAGGGCCTCTCTCCTCTGACTCCCAGCACATGACAGCTGTCTGGCTACATTCCTACTTGTCTTTTTTTTTTTTTTTAAGATTTTATTGGGGAATTGGGGAAGGGGAACAGACAAGTTGCTGTCCTTTTGTTCTTCAGTCTAGTTGTGGAGGATATCGCTTCACTGGCCCATGTTGGTATTGTGATCCTTGTGCTCTTCCCGGCTGAGGCAAAACGGTTGCCAGCCATTGGACGTCTGCCCACAGCAGCTCACAGCAGCTGGCCACTCACACTGGCTGCTGGCCACACACGATAGCTCACGGCAGCCCACTGCAGCCTACACCGTCGCCGGCGACTCACGGAAGCCCAGCTCCAGGTCGAGCTGTTGTTCACCATCTTAGCTGAAGAGGGCAGTGTCACTGGCCCTCATGTGGGATCTGAACCGGCAGTCCTGCTGCTCAGAGCTGGTGTCCCAAGCTAACTCTTAACCAACGAGCCACTCAGCCGGCTCCCCACTTGTCTCTTGACGAGCACATTAGTGCATAAGGGATGGGAACGTGAAGGTCTGCACTGGCTAACCGATTGCCTGGGTGCTGAGCTTATGAAAGTTCTTATTTTCATTTTGTTTTTTTCTACTGAAACAAAATTTAAAAAGAACACAGATATCTTTAATAAGTCAGGAGTTCCAGGAAGGAGGCCACATACCCTCCCTTCTTTCCTGCTCCTGGTTAGAGGCTCACAGCTGCTGCACAGGCCGAACCCCTGAGCTTTCTACTGAGGGTCTCCCAGCCTGAGCCAGTGAAAAGGGCCACCTGCCACCCCCCACATTACCCTAGCTGCCCCCAGGCCCCTGCCCCCACTCACCCAGGTTCCCCCCTGGCCCTCCCTGCCCTTAGTGCAGCAAGGCCACTCTCCTCAGACAGCATCCCTTCTCATTCTGGGATTACAGACACACACGCATAGGCAGACACGTGTGCAGACACATGCACACAGGGGAAGTGTGGGGGGTGCCTGGAAGGCCACCTGGAATGCCACCTCCACAGGCCCTGCCCCGCCGGCTCCACGCACAAGTATGCACACTCACTGCACAGGGGCTCTTTGCCAAAAGCAGCCCCCCGCCCCACTGCAGGCCCCCCCTCCATCCAGAGCCATCTAAGGGAGCTTGAGACATTTGCCACCATGAAACTGAATAAGAAGCCACAGGAGAGAAGCCAGCCAGGTGGGACTGGCGGGACAGACGCAAGCACCTCTTCCAACATGTTCAGACTTTATTTCATGGTGATTGACACACATATAGATTGGAGTTAGTAATGTGACACATGGGGCTCCCTTCAGTTCCTGGGCCTCATATCCCAGCCACAGCTGTGGGAGTAGGGACTGCGACTGCCTCCAGTACAAGGGCGGGTGGGTGGGGTGAGGTGGGTTGGCATGAGATGCAATGTTGCAGTTTAAGGCTTTTCTGGCTTCACAGCCATCTCTGCCACCCCTGCACCCAATCCTTGGCCTTGGTCAGACACCCGAATAGCCCCTGGTCATTCTTGGACAAGGACAACCACCGCTCACACCAGAAGTGAAGTCAGGGCTTGGTGTGCAGTGTCCTCAGTGCTCTCAGGCAAGGACGGGAAAGAGGTCACTGGCACAGATGTCAAATAAAATCAATGCATGAAGAACTCTGGCTGGTAGTCAGGCCTGGACATCAGTCCTTGAGACAGGGTGCTGGCTGCCCAGGCAAGCAGGCAATGGACGTCAACCGTACCACACAGTGGCCCGCTCCCTCTTGGGGTTCTTCGCGGGGTCTGAGGTGTCAGAGGAAATACAGTCATGTCCAGGGTGGATGGGCGGATGGGCAGGGCCAGCTGAGGGCCAGAGCTCCTGGAGCAGGCCTGGGCCTGGCCTCTGCTCTCCAGCACCCTGGGACTGTTGGACACAGTTGGGAGGTGGCGCAATGTGTCCCCAACAGTAATGTCTTTTCTTAGTCACAGTATTGGCACAGGGGGCCCAGGAGGGGCCAGCGAGGCTCAGGGCTACTCCTGGCGAGGCTGGCCCGTTCACAGCACACGCAGGACGAGGACCGGCTCAGTCGGAGCTAAGCTTCCCACTGTGGGGACGCAGGCCTCACCAGGTGCAGCATGGGTGATGTGTATGGGGAGTCTGCTGACAGGCCGGAGAACACAACAGCTCAGCACAGGTGGATACACGGGGAAGCACAGTACGAGGGCTGGGACACGGTGGCCCAGGGTGGAGGGGTGTGTCCTGAGGCCGCCGTCTGAGCCAAGCCCTCCATGTAGCCATATCAACCTTGTGAGTCCCTTGGCACCGAGTTTGTCTCTGCAGCTCGCCTGCCTGGGTGGGAGGGTGGATGGGCCAGGAGTCCCTCCGGCCAAAACACAGGCAAGAAAATCATTTCAAAAAAGCAACAAGTTTACAAAAATAGAAAATAATTACAGCAGGGTGAGCGGTGGGCTGTAGTGAGGCTCACGGGGCAGGACAGGGCCGAAGCTCTGGTTTGGTAACCGCGTCCTCCAGCAGGTGCAGTGGCCGCCGCCCCACCACCACATCCCGCAGGCAGCCCACGAAGCCCGTGCTGTAGGCTTTCGGCAGGGCCTGGCCCACTGGCAGCTTCTCCAGGCCTCCTGCAGGATACAAGGGAGGTTACCCAGCGGTGAATCAGTGATGGGCAGGCCAGGTCACTGGCGGGCACAGTGACCCACCAGCACCTGAATGACGAAGTGAGTTACCTGGAGCCTGTCAGTGCCAGGGGGTGGGGTGGGAGGTGGGGCCAGGTGACTAGCAGACATGCTCCAGCCACCCTGGGAACTGCAGGGGACAGGGCACTAACTCTGGCCGGCCCCTCTGCTGTTCTCTGTAGGGCTGACTCAGGTGCCACTCTCAGTGGCAGGCCCCAGGGGATGGGGTCTGTCCATCAGAGATTCTGAGACTCTCCCCTAGCTTCCCCCCAGAACACTCACCCAGCCACAGGGCTCCGTCTGTGTCCAGCTGTGTGGCGCCCAGCGGGGAAGAGCCAGTCACAGGGGCCTCATTGCCCACTTGAAGGGAACCTTCCCTCTGCTCCCTGGGGGTTCAAGTGGTGTGAAGCCATCAGGTCTCCAGAGGGCCTGCCCTGCCACCTCCAGGTCCTGAGCCCCAGGACCTCCACCAAGTGTCACCCCTGGGGGCCAGGACGAGGTGGCACTGACCCCAAGAAGAGTACCCGGTGGCCAGGGCAGGGGGGTGTCACGTGGGTCAAGCTTTATTGGAGGGGCTCAGAACAGAGGGCCATGTCCTCAACCAGTGCGTGAGCAAGGACTGCCTTTTTAGATCAGGGGTTCCCCGGCCCTCACTGCTGTGTACTCTTATTCCTCGCCCCACTGGCTGTGACCTTGGGTCAGGCAGCTGTCCCCACCCGCCTGCCGCCTGAGCCACCAGTGACCCAGCACGCCCTGGCTGGGCAAGTCCAGGCACCTCCCGCCACTATTCTTGGTGTGCCCCAGGCTCCCCGCTGACCTGTGCGCCCTGACCCGCAGCCAGCGGTTGGTGTTGACAGGCACAGTGGAGCGCAGCACCACGGGCTGGGAGCCCAGATCATAGGTCAGCTGCAGGCGTCCATCCACGATGGCCAGTGCCATGTAGTCAGCCCGTTCCGTGGCCTTGCCGCTCCACAGCAGCAGCCCCTGCGTGGCCTCGGTGCGCAAGCTCAGCTCGAAGTGGTCACTCTGCAGCGCCTTCTCGCTGGTGGGCAGAGAGATGGTCAGAGCCTCTGGGAGGGTGGCCGGGGACAGAGTGGACAAGGGAGGGGGCCAAGAGCCACGGCTGCAGAGGCCACAGGGGCAGCTGATGCAACCGGGGGTGGATGGGTGGGCAGGTGGGCAGACACCAACAGTGGGACAGATGGCCCAGGCAGATGGTGGGAGGTAGGGCCAGACACAGGAGCAGAGGAGCAGAGGTGGACAGACGGAGGGACAGCTCAGCAGAGACAATCAGAGGCGGGAAGACCGCAGGGGCTGGGGAGCCACATGCTTACCTGCGAAGGGCCCCGGAACCTGGACCTTCGGGGCTTAGAAGCAGGAAGAGAGGGAGGCAGATGAGCAGAGGACAGACAGGTTGCAGTGCAGGGTGGGCAGGGACCCGCAGCAGCCCCCACGCCCACCCACCATGGAGCCCTGGCAATGACACACGTGCAACACACCCAGGCCAGGTGCAGAGTTCAAGAGGTGAGGCCTGTGGTGGCATGAAATGGAGTCTGAGAGCGGCTCCCAGCTCAGGAGAGGCCCCTGATATCCCAATGCACATGTGCACATTGCACATATGCGCACACAGATGCTCATGTGCATGTGCAGACGTGTGTGCACCACGACTACTGTGAGGGGAATGGCTGCAGAGGGTGGATGGTGATGGGCCTTCAGCATATATCCTGAGAGGGGGTGACACCCCCCTCCAAGTTAGGAAACTGAGCCTCGTGCTGCATAAACAGCCCCCGGCCCAGTCCTCTTCTGTGGGGGATGGGAGTTCCACCTGTGCCTCAGTGGGTGAGGAGCAGAGAGTGGGGAATGGAGTGAAGGTGGAGGTGAAGGTGGGGGCCAAAGTGCTACTTACGCTGGGATCTCATTGGTCAGTTCGCTTGGAAACAAAGAGACAGAGACAGTGAGAAGGAAGGAGGGTAGAGGAGGGCAGTGGGCAGGCGGAGTGGGTGGACACCAGGCCTGACCTTCCCAGCCATCAAGCCGAGGGCAGATGTGGAGTGTCCAGCGTCTCAACCTGCACGGCGTGCAGACAGGACCAGATGGACAGCAGAGTGCACAGGGGCGCCCAGGTCCCAAGCGTCATGTTACCTCTCAGTCACGGCGTTGAGGTACTCGACGTAGGTCCGTCCATCAAAGGCCAGTGTGTCCAGGTCCCCTGCTGACTTCTCGATCAGCCCTGGGATCGACCAGTCAGGGTGAGGGCCGGTCCGGGGGGTGGGGGGTGGCAGTGGGGGGGCCCTGTGCCCATGATGCTCACCCTTCTCACAGTGCAGACCCAAGAAGCCCTCAGGACACAGGCACTCGTAGGAGGCCTCCCGAGGGAGACAGGAGGCTCCATTGAGGCAAGGGTGGCCTGAGGCCTGGGTACAAGGGTGGTCTGCAAAGGATGAGACATCCACCGCCCGCACCACGTGCTCCTGGGTCAGCAGCTGGTGGCCTTTCAGAGAGACCTGGGGGAGGGAGGGAGTGAGGGCCGCGATCTTGCCTGGGGTAGTCCCTGCTGCCGTGGCCTCAGCCCCGCCCCACCTACCAGCTGGATGGCACCGTCGAAGCCAGAGGACACAGTGGCTGCCCGGGCCAGCTTGCTGAAGTCAGGGGCCCCCCCCACGTAGAGCGGTTCCTTCAGGTTGAGGACAGTGTGTGGCACCTGGTGGAGCATGCTGGGTGAGGGGCTGTGGAGCCTGTCCCCTGGGCAGGGACAGGACACTGCGCCCCGCCCAAGGGCCTGCCCCTCGCCCACCAGCCTATCTAGGAGGCAGAGTTAATCACACAGACTGGGTGACGTGGGGCTTAGTGTGGGGGGAGAGGGACTACTCTAGGGCTGGAGGTGGCAGAAGATGGATGAGCGGGATGAGCAGAGAAACCGGTACCTTTCGGGATTTCTGACATCCGAACAGCGGGGTGGGGGTTGCAGAGCAAGGCCAGAGAGCAGTGGGAGCAGAGGAGACAGACAGACAGGGGCACAGGACAGACGGAGAGAAAAGAGTTCGGTGAGAGGCGGTGTGGGGTGAGGCTGCCATGCCTCGCAGGAGAAGGGGGCTCACGGCCTGGCGACACTCACCGGGGACTCCCCCAGCACACGGGGCCCGCTGCCGACGCGCATGGCGCCCTTGCGGCCATTCCGCTCCAGTGACACGCTGGTCCAGGTGCCCAGGGCCACCGGCTCCTCGCTCCTGGGGGGAGGGGCACCATGAGTGTTGCCACCAGCCCACCCAGGGTCTGCCTGATGCCACTGCGTGTCCCCAGCCTTGCTCCCTGTCCCAGCCACACATGCACACCTGATTACTGCTGCCCCCTTGCCCAGGTCATAACGGAACTCCAGGTGGTGGTCACGCAGCGCCAGCGACACAAAGTCTCCCCTGCCGTCTGTCTTCTGCCCGTTGTAGAGGAGTAGGCCGCTGGGGCCCCGGGCCAGGAACACCACCTCCAGCTCCATCTTCTCCCTGGGGTCACATGGGTCAGGTGGGGAGAACCTCGATGCCCGTGGGCTGGCCGGGGGCTAGGGGCTGCTGCCCCTCATCCACCCCTTCTGTCCCACTGACCCCAGGTCCCGCTCAAAAGTGTGCAGGCCTCTGAGCTCCAGGTAGGAGAAGCCGTTGAAGTCAGCCAGGAAGGGCCGGTCATCATTCCCTTCTGAGACTGTGGAGGATGAGAGGGGGTCACACAGGGGCACTGAGTCCTGACCCTTGGGGTCCCCTGCACCCCCACTGCTCTGTGAGTCCCAACACTAGCCTGACCCAACCCTAAACTCAAGCCTGAATGCTTGACCCTCACCCTCCTTCCTGCCCTGAGAGCCCGGTGCCCTCACCTGTTTGGCAGAGAGTGCCGCCTCGTCCCAGGGGACACTCACACTTGGCCTCACCCCCAGGCAGCACTCGGCATGGGGCTGCCCCATGGCAGGGGTTCGGGTGACAGGGGTTCTTCTCATCGGCACAGGTTGGGCCTGGAGAGAGACAGGATGAGGTCCCAGGAGGCTTGAGCCCCAGCCCAGACACACAGGTACCCCCTCTGCCCCAGTACCCGACCCAGGCCCTGCTCTCACCGAAGCGGCCAGGTGGGCACTGACAGTGGAACATGCCTGCCTCCAGAGCCTCGCACGTGGCCCCGCCAAGGCAGGGGCTGGGCAGGCAGGGGTGGTCCCCGCACTCGCCCACGCTGGAGCTTCTGGCCACGGCCCCCTCCCAGCTGCTGAGCTCCAACCTCTGGTTGTTGATGTCCAGCAGGCGGATGCAGCCCCTGAGGCCAGCGCTGACAGAAGTCCGCTCAAGCACCCTGCCACCAGCACGAGGGTAGGGATCAGAGGCTAGAGGCACCCTCTCTCATAGCCAGCTGTGACACTGGCATCGCCAATCAGCCGGGGTCAGGGGCCAGGGGTCACGGCTTCTGCCATCCCCCCCTTGGTGCTCACAAATGGCCAGTCCCCAAAACAGGACAGATGTGGGAGGTAGGCTGAGGGTCAAGGGTTGAGACTGAAGGTCAGTCCAGCCCCTCCTTGGTGGTCACATGGCAGCCTGGTCCTTGGGGATGCCACCCACAGATGGGACAAAATCAGGGTCAGGGTCAAGAGTGGGGGTTGAGGTCAGGGTCAGAACCACTGTCCACATTATCTCTTCACCCCCTTTGTATCATTTCTTCACCCCCTTTGTTATTCACAGATATCTTGGGCTTCCTCAATGCAGCCAACAAGAATCAGAGCTCAGGACCAAGGTCAGGGGTCGGGGTTGGGTCAGGGCCACCCCATCCCTCCTTAATGCTCACGCCGTAGCCTGGTCCTCTGGGACGCCGCCCACAAAGAGGTCTGTGTCCAGGTTGAGGCCGTCAGTGCCACTGGGGCTCTGGCCCAGGACAGGGGTCTCACCGTCCACTGAGAGCGTACCCTGACGCCAGTGCCTAGACAGCTCCAGACGATGCCACCGGCCGGGCTGGATGCGCACTGTGCTGGTCAGCACCGCAGGCCCCGAACCTGTGTCAAATCTGGGGGCACAGGAGCAGGCGCTCAGGACAGCCACAGGGAGCCAGGACAATTGCCCAGTCCTGCGGGTCACCCCACCCACTCTGCCCACCAGAGTTGCACCTGGCCCTGCCCTTCCTGGCCACGCCCC